TCTTACTTTTCTTCTTTTACCTTCTTTTCTTGTCTCCTTAGTCTGGCATGAGTAGATTTGCATGAAAATGAACAAGTAAACATGTTTTCTCATAGAATTATTTAGCAGTACATTGGATTCATTTTAATTGTGACTGATCCACATGATTGCTGCTAACAACTCTTTATCATGAAAGGCTCATTAAAACAAAAATCGACTATGTTGGTTACTGTTTTAGTCTTAATGATTTCAGTTATAATCGAGTTAACCAAACTTACTCCTCTAATAAATGGGTCAAACACAATTATACATTATATAAACTCGATTATTTATAATTTTTACACGGCACAAACAAATACGATATTTAATTGAATTTGCAAATATATGTATGCAATTTAGATGGCATTAATATTATTGAAAGTGGGCTGGACCCCAGTTCTACTTTATTGATCATAATCATTAAGTTTCTGGATTATATCCCAATAACATTTTTCTCTTTAGATTGACATGTTAAATAAATTTTGATGTGCACAAAACTGTGATGACACGGCGTATTATCTGCCCAACACATCATGACAAATATGTTCATTAAAATCATAAACACATCAAGATCTGTGATGACAATTACATAAAAAAAAAAAGAAACAAGAATTAGCATGAGAGGCAACATGATCTCATCACTAAGGTGAAGAAATCTAGGAGATACCGACAATCCTAATGACAATTGGATCAAAAGTCAAAAAGTGTACCATCTGCTGGAGTGGTCCTAGTGTCTTTGGATCGGTCCCAGACTCCATCTCCATGGATTTCTGAACTCTCACTTTTTGTAAGCTTGAGGCCAAAATAAACAATGGAAACACTGTCCTGGTGTAGCCATGATAAAAGGGCCAAAGCGACCACATGCTAAAAAGGTTGCCCGTTCATAATCACTGGTGGCCATCAAAAGCTACTTTCCACCTGGGACTACTTGTAGTTTGTAAGGTTAACCACTGTTAACTTGTCTTATATCTGGGACTCCCTGTTATCGAAATGCTGTTGGTATTGTTGTTTCAATAATATCACTACAAACATCAAGGTAGGTAAAGTACCTGATCCATATCATTTATTATTGTTTGTTTGGATATGCACACATAGTTTTCAAACGCGTTGGCTTAGGACAGTAATAACTAGTGTAGCGAAAGTCATTCTCTAGAATCCCGCATCACTTAACCTGAAAAAGTCCCACATGAAAATATATAGCCCTAAATCTGGGGATGAATTATTCTTGCTAAGTCTCACGTTGCTAGGTGAATTATGCGTGACGTGTTGTGTAAACGTGAGATTTAAAACTAAGTATATATTTAGTAAAATTTAAAATGGTGCGATGTAGCCAAAAAACAAATAATGTTGTATAACATGGGTTCATTAGAAGGAAGAAAATCCATACTTAATATGGGTAGCTACATGTAAATATAGGTTTCTTTTCAGAAAATGAACTCAGCAGGCAACGAAGATGGATAATGTGAATTTCTATCATTATGACACTAGTTTGCTGATAAGATAATGAGTCAAGGGCCAATAAAGATGGATCATGTGAACCACTATCATTATGCTCTCAGTCCGAATTAGTCAGCCAGGTCCAACTCTCCCCGCACCAGAAAACACTTACTATAAAATGATATTTTTTTTTTGTTACAAGGTATCTACATTTACACCGATTATTTCTTTGAGCTTAGTGGTTGACTACCGTGGCTTCAACTGAATTAGAGCATGTCCCTACTTAGTCCTTAGAGGATGTAAGAAAGAATTAAACCTGAGACCTATAAGTTACCAAAGAATAGACCCAAGTATAACTAACCGGATAATATGGGTACCATCCTCCAGATCCAACACCCAAGATTGAGAAATCTTTATTTTAAAAACATGTGAATCACTTGAGCCCAAATTTTGTTGCCGCACATTCTGCTAGCTGCATATGTAATTGTTGAGGATGGTCGTAACCAGACGGCCTTTGGATCATGATCGACTAGGCCCATCTGATAATTTTGGCCCATTAACTTAATTTGGAACATTATGTTTCATAGTTTCAGGTTTAGATATATTAGTTATCTGATTAGGATCCAATCCAAACTAGTTTATACAAATGTAAATGTATAATAAATTAAGTGATAATTTCATGAAATTGAGTTCGTTTAGGTGTAATTTGCTAACATTCAACTCAATTGATTTATATGGATTTACTTAGTTTTTGGATCGGATGTCCATTTTTTAATGGATTGGAATATGAAGTATAAAATAAAAATTTGCCGCATAATCGAACTAGATTCAAATTGTAATTTTGTAATCGTTTTCGGATTCGGATCGAACAAAATCCCATGCAAGCTAGATCAATTGACAGGCTTACCCATGGCTGCTATGTACATTTGGATCGGTTACAATCATCAACAAACCCCACAAGCATTGATCAACTAGAACATCTCTTTTAAGGCTTGAAGTCGAAATCATGAGATATGAACTACTGAAGTCTTGTCATCTAAACAATTTTGACAAAAATTCTATATATTATTTAATCATCAAGAGGACGAAAATTGTATATTACTAACATATCTAATAATATATTAGTTTTTAGGAGTAATATGTGTATGAAGTACTACTACCGATGGGGGGATGATTGGAATAAACGTTCTGGGTAGTAGAAAGACTTTAAGGAAATGGAGGGAAAAAGTGTAATTTCGTATGAGCAAATTTGGATTGCAAGGATGATCGGGGTATTGACTAGGTGGGAAATGGTGAATTTTAAAGAATTTAGAGTTAATAGGAAAATAAGGGGGGTGGAAGGGTGATTTTGGAACATAGGATAGAAGAGTGGATGGCAATACTCATTCCAAAGAGTTTTTCCGGTCAGCTGACTTTTGCTTACCGGTCGACCGACTTTGCAAGGCAGTCGGCCGACTTGACCTCTGGTCGACCAGCTTGAGTTGGTTTTACCTCGGAACTCCTTCCACCCACTTGACCTTTCACGCCTAGTACAAATACTCACCTCTGTTTTGCATGTTGTGTCTGCGAAAAAATTTTTATACCTCTAAATATTTAAAACAAAAGAGAGAAAACGGAGAGAAAAATAAAAAAGTGAGCCGGGGTTTTGCGGATCCAAAGTTAGACTACACCGAATTAAAATTATTTTATATTTTTCTCTTTAGAGGTAGGATTTTTTTTTTGATTCATTATCTATAATGCATTTCATATTTGCTTGGGGATCTCATGCCAAGTATATGTTCTATACTGTGAAGCTTATTTATGTTCATTGCATATTGATTGAGAAATAATTTTTCAATAAAAGATTGAGAAATAATTGGAATTTGACTATTCGAGCATGTTTTCTTATATATGATATTATTTAACCAATTTATTGATTTATATTGATTTTGATATCGAATTTGCTATAAAAATGATTATGTTGTTTATCTGAAATGATTATATTGAATTGGTTATACATATTGGCTTATGGTATTATTACTGTTGGAATGTTATTGTGAAATATTGTGGAATTATTATATTGGTCTCATCTGAAAGAGTGGGTGCACGATATTGATGTTGAAAAGATGGGTGAGTAATACTAGCGGACGGTGGTTGATTTTGTGATACTATAGATGCCTAGTATTAAGTTTTTAAGTAACTAACATTGCATAGTTTATGGATGGTGTGCCTACAAATTCTTGAGAGGATCGATGAAGGGTACTAGAAGACGGTAGTTGCCTATAGTGGTACTGTAGAAGCATGATATCAATTTTTCCCGAAAAGCAAGCAAGCATAGTATCCCTAGGATGCAAGACCCCAAAATTTTCTCAGGAGTTGATACACGTCATGCTAAGATTGAGTTGTATTGGTTGGTTATAATTGATACTTCTACCATGCTCGGGATTTCATATTTATGTTGTCTTTATTACACTGTTACCATTGTACGAAATATGACATGCATATCATGGTTGCTATTGCAGAAGGTGATAATTTCTATCATATGGTTATTAATACAAATGTGATATGTTAATGTTATGAAATTCTGTACAAATGTGATTCGCAAAACAATATAATACTTGGAAGTAAAAGGTCCACGACAATAACACAATGCCTTGAATAATCGACCCGTTTGCAAAATCTTCCCTCTTTACTTTCAATTACATCTAAAAATAACTTGTAAATTTTATTATGACAGTCCCTCGTTCATTATATGCGGTTTCCCCTGTCAAGAAGTGTAGCAGGAGGTGATGTTGACACCTTTGTGCCTCACATCCCTTCCCTTATTACAACAACAACTTCAAGACGACAGCCCACCCATCTAGAATAGATAACTAGTTTTTTTTTTTCTTGTATGAGATAACCTATTGAATTATTTCACATGGAATGTTTGGTTCGACTATTAGGACTTAGTACGGGACCAAATTGGTCATATCATTCACCATTTTGTTACATTCCTTTTAGGATTAGCAAAATTGTTTTTTACATATCTCTCGTTAGTTGAGATCTTCTTTGGGCTCTGCTGAATCGAGCAATGAGTTTGAATTCGATGACCACCTATTACCAACTATAGTTCATCCTACGGCTACAGTTATAAAACAAATAACGTAATTTCATTCCAAGGAACCAATAAATTTGATTCTTATAACCTCAAGCTGACGAGTATTATGGGAATTAATTACAAAAAATTTGAGCATCGTTAACTTTAATGTAGTATGTCTTCATCTATGAGGTGAAGTTGAACCTTTGTGCCTCACATCAGGTTCCTTCTCTACAACAAGGATATGAGGACAATTGCCAACATATTAAGAATCTATGAGAAAACCTATTCTCAATGATCAAACTGTCACACCGACTTAAAATTTGAACCTATAAAAAGGAGGGCAAAATTGTTGTTGATCTTCCAAGACTTAACAATGGCAAATTTTGCTTTCCTTTGCTTTTCTCTCATTTTCCTTAGGGCCTCTGTTCAGTGGTTCCGTTTCAGTACAACACAAGAATTCATAATGGGGCAATGGTCACAGGAGATGCTCTCTAACCCCTCTCCAGCAGCGAGCTTTGGATTTGATACATCTACAGGCTCTTTACCTGTATATATTGGTCCTCAAGATGGGCTAAAAAAAGTGATAAGATTGAAAGATTTCCCGGACAGCCTGATGGGATAAACTTTATTCAATATTCAGGATATGTTACGGTAGATCCTAAAGCAGGACGAGCATTATTTTATTATTTTGTGGAATCTCCACAAAACTCTTCTACTAAGCCACTTGTGTTGTTCATTGGTGGAGGTAATGCTTTTACCCGACCTTTTAACCTTTTACTTAACGCCCACCAAATCACAATGGCTTGTCGTAATACTAAAAGAGTATGGCTTTTCCTATATATATATATATATATATGAAGGGGCATTTGTTTTTAATGGCATAATGAACAAAAAAATATATATATTATCACTATTTATATTCAACACTGTTATTTATGCTCCGTTTGGTAGGGAGGATGGAAAGTAGAAAGGATGAAAAATAGGAGAGATACACTTTCTATCCTTCAAGGATGGAAAGTAAGAATGATACATTTTTTTTCCTTTGTTTTTGGTTGGATAGATGAAAAATAAAAATGACTAATTTTTTTTGTGCTGGCTAAGATTAGGAGTGATAAATAGAGTCGAGTCGTGTCGTGTCAGATTCGTGTTGAGTCATTATGAGTTTGTGTCGAATATTAGTCAAACTTAATTTAATTCATTTAACTAATTGTGTCGTGTCGAGTTGCGAGTTGACTTATTTATTTTCGTATCGAGTTTGAGTCGAATGATGGAAATTTTTTTTTTTTTAACTTAATTTTTTTTTTGTATTTTTTTAAAATTTAATTTTTAAAATATATATACATATATTACCATTGTATTTTTATATGAAATTAATGTATACGTAAGATATATAAACAAATAAGATATATTTCAACACAAATAATTAATTTTTCATTCATTTTCCTTCCGATTTTGGAAGAATTGATTTTAGTGAGTTGGAAGGAAAGTTAATTCATCCACTTTTCTATCATTTATACTTTCATTCCTTACTAAACATGATATTTTATTTATTCCTCAAATTTTCCATCTTTCCAACTTTCCATCCTCCCACTTTTTCATCGTACCAAATGGAGTATTAGTCTCGCAAAGGTTTATAGGGGATAATGATTATTTGTTGAACATTTTTTTTCAATTTTTTTTTAGGGGAAAGTGAGGAAGATTTAAACTCTTGACCTTAAGAAGACAAAATCTTATAAGATAAAGAGTACCATTAGACCAAAGGTCCATTGGTTGTTGAACTTGGCACACCAATGCCAAGAACATTTCAATCAGTTCATATTGTTTTGTATGCATGATTATCTCCATACATGCAAAGTTTCATTTTATATTGTGATTGCACTTTTTAAATCATCAGCTAATATTATTTCGTGGACAGCTCCTATGTGCTCTTCACTAGGAATTGGAGCAATGATGGAACTTGGACCATTCAAAGTCCATGAAGATGGTAAAACTCTATATCGAAATGGATATGCATGGAATTCTGGTAAGTGTTTTTGAGTTTCTTGTAGTTCTGATTCAAATGATCCCACCTATTCAATAAGCTAACCAATACACTAAAGCAATTCCTATTTGTTCTTATCTCAGAGGCCAATATCATCTTCCTTGAATTTCCAGCTGGTGTTGGATTTTCGTACTCAAACAGGACATCAGACTATGACTTAAATGGGGAGACTGTCCGTGATTCATTTACCTGGAGAGATTTCCTGAATACAAGACTAGAGATTTCTTTATTGTAGGAGAGCACTATTCAGGCATTTATATACCTCAGCTTTCGCAATTAATACTTGATAACAAAAAAAGTATACAAACCAAACCATAATCAATCTGAAAGGGATCGCAGTAAGTTTCTAGACATAAACTTGAACTGAAAAAGACAATTTGTTTCGTTTGTCCTAAACCAATTCACATGTTTCTTTGTTGTTATGTTTTTGCTGGATGTTATACTATCATTCTAACACTAATAGGAGATGGTTATGTTTATTAGATTGGCAATGCATATATCGATTGGGAAACAAGCATTAAAGGATCGGTGGATTATTATTGGACGCATTTGCTCATTTCAAATGAGATATACACCAGTCTTACATTGAACTGCAATTTTTCTTCACCATATGCTACATACAAAAGTTGTGGGCAATATTCTGTCTAGATTTCTACTTAATTAAAAGGTTGTAACCGTATTATTAAATTAAAATTAATTTTCTTATCAATTACCTTTTAAACTTGCATTGTTATTACAATATATGTGGCGGATGGAAATGGAAAGCACGTCGAGTCGAGTCTAGTCTTGGCAGCATTTACAATAAATTGCATTACCCATGGTTTTGGTGACAACAAATAATAAAAAAAAAACAACAAAAAATGGAAAAAAGATAAACTTGATTAAACCAAGTTTTTTTTGAAACCGATTAAAATCAAGTTTCAGCAAGGTGAATATGTGAGATCTCCTATGATAAGACCTAATGGTCATAAATTAGATTGAATGGAAAACTACTCTTGACTTACGAGATCTATAACAATGATTCTTAATAGAGATATGCAGTGAAAATTTCTATGAGAAGAATACAGAATATATTCATAAACTTAATTCTTTATAGGTTGCAAATAGTTTTTCTCTCAAGTAACTTATATATCTCCCTCACCGGTAAGCAATTACCTTTATTTAAAATATTGTTCCCTCACATCAAAAAAAATTGTCAGGAAACTGACTATTACTTAAACTGTTTCCTTATACCTAATACACTATCTTCATAAAAAAAACTACTACTAATCAAAGTAATGTAGGTTAGGTCTTTTAATTAGGATATCCTTATCCCATAACCCAAGTCTGTATCTTGTCAATTTAGTCCACATAACGGTTCCACTAAATAAGTCCAACATCCTAGTACCAAGTTCAATATAATATTGAAAGATATGATCCAACAAAAGTCAATTAAAAATTTTCAAGCGGCAACATTAATTCACAACCTCGCTGAACTAAATGACAATAATTGATGAGATTATGAAGAACAACTCTTTGATACCGTTGCCTTTCTCAAAATAAGTTGAAAGATGAAAGAGACATCAAATTTATTGTCTAAAGCAGCTCTTGCCTTAAAAAAAACTAATGAAACCAATCTCAAATTTGCAACACAATGCAACTGCACCGTAATAGACATCAAATTTATTAGATCCAATGGAAATAAAACTCACTCTATATTCTGAATCGTGTCAACACGAGAATAGACTCTCTGTACGTAAGCATAAAATTGAACACATCTTATCCTTTTCAGAGCAAGCAATGGAAGGAGAATGATGCACTGGGCTTTTTTTTTTTTTTTTTATCGTATTGAAGCCCATGAACTGCACCGTAATAAGAAAGACTCAGACCCAAAAAGCAACTTCATTAGGAAATGGTGAATCAACAGCCGTTCACCTGTACGCATAATCCATTATCCATACCAATCAAAGAACTACAACATACAAAATTAAAAGTTTCTAGTCCTTGTATCTTTTTTTAATAACAGGTGAATTATTCCAACAACGTACCTTGTTGACTCATGGTTGCAATCCAAACATCCGATTTACACAATCACTCACACATTATGTGCATTATTTAAACTTCAATTTTATGCGCCCTATAAAACTCAAACAAAAAATGTGCATATCATAATTTTAAAAACTGGCTCGGACCTCAACTTGGCAAAGTGACTGGTTCAATGGATTACCGATTCAATAGTGGGATCATTGGTTAACCGGTCATATAATAAAAAAATAAAAAATAATTAATAAGTATTATAAAAATATTAAAATAGCCATAAAAATGAAATGAGTCCCGATTTTATATTAATTTTGATTATTTAATATGAAATTTATGCACACAGTATACTAAAAAGAATTTAAAAAAACAAAGAATAAGCAATTTCATTGATCCCTCGTTGGAACTCCAGGAAAAGAGTTCTGACCGTCAATGCTATAATTAGACTGTGGAGCAGTACAATCACCTTATCAAAAAGGGATTGAGTTTGATAATCTGGGCTATCCCACATTGGGTGTGTGAGTGTGTTTATAAGTCTTCACTTGACCCTTACTCTGTTAGAGTAAGTGGTTAAGTATGAATCAAAAAAAAAAAAAGCCTTTGACGCCTTATGCGGGGGCGCTCGGTTGTGGACTAGAAATCCCCTCTTTGGGCCGTTAGTATCCTGCGGTCATGGTAATTGTACTGGAGAGGTAGAGGACTAGGCTATCCCACATCGGGTAGAGTAAGTTGTTAAATGTAAATCACAAAAAAAAAAAGTTTGATAATCTATTTCTTCTTATAGCGGTTGGGCTGGTCCAATGAAATGGGCCATTAATAAAATTTAAGTATTTGTGTCAGTCCAAAAGTAACATAGAATTGTCTAGAATTATGAGAACTGATCCGGTTCTAATTAATTGTGTCTGGTTTTGACCTGTTTAATGGTTTTTTGACGGGTTAATTATATAACCTATCTAATTTAAAGTCCGGCCAGGTTGAGGTGACGGTTGGACGGTTTTTTGGGTTAATCCGTCGGGCCAGGTTTTAAAACAGTAGTGCAGAGGTGCATATTGATTACCTTATTTGTATTTAAGAAGTGGACCCATGTTTCTCAATTTCCTTTTTGTGGTTCTTCTGTGCTGTGCTACGTGTGTCCAATCTAATCTTTTGAAGAGTCTGTAATAGTGGGAACTTCGTATTGGACTGCCCTCTTATATTGAACCCTGTGAACTGCTCCCCAAGGAGTGATCAGGATAAGGTAAATTCACAATCACTAACATATGGGCATAGCCCAGACTGGTTTTTGAGAAATTATTGGCCCAATTTTCCAATATAAGTTCGAATATTATGTAAATAAACATAATTCATCAACTCAATGAATGAGCAGTTGTGTATCATTTAGCAAAGAACAATAAAATGCACAGCTACCATTTGGATAGGAGAATTTATGAAAGAAATCAGGATTTAAATTCCTGGATACTGCACATTATGTTGCTTGCCAACGGGAATACAAAGCTACCACAACCACCTCATATAAAGAGTTCAATACCACAATTTTTGGTAGAATTTGCATATGCTAAAGGCAAATTATCTCAAAATCAAGAAGCACAGCACCAAATGAGCTTCCAATGTCAGAATAGGTTGCGATCATCACATTTGTGCCTCAAAAATCATCAACAAAAATCAATACTTCAGATATGAAACTACGACGACTTCCACATGAACTGTTTGTTTGCATGTTGATCTAGATAACTCTGACTTTGGAGGCACTGATGACTCCCCTGGGATTGCCAAGACCAACTTCTAAAAATTCAGTGGATGCCAAGACAAAAAAAAAAAAAAACAAGTGCATATTGATGAAGAAAGGAAAACAGAAAAACAAACAAGAAAACATCCAAAATAGGGCTGCAATTTGAAAGTTGATGGCTGCGTAACACCTACTTTGTAATTCAAGTCATAGTTAGTCCACTAATACATACAACTACTTCATCATAGTCCAATCTAGTGTCCACATATTTTTCTGTTGGAAGGATCTCAGAAAATAAAAGCTTCCAAATTATATCATTTATATATTTTTTTTATATCATTTATGTATATATTGATTCCTTGCATTTAAGAAGTGGGCTTATGTTTCTGTAGTTTTATACATGATGTCTTCTTTAGTTTTGTCATTTTTACAACATTGATATTAATATTTACTTGCAGCTCAAATTTCTCAGAAAAATCTACCTAGCTTTAGCTCCAATAAATGTCAAATGAGAAGCAATCAAATTGATACTAACAACACTTCTATATGGCGTCATTCTGACAAAACAAACAACAAATCCACATTTATCTATCCGTCACTCAAACTTCAAGGTTGAGCTTATAAAAATGAGTGGGCATTGATCTTGATCTTCCAAGACTTAACAATGGCCAATTTTGCATTCCCTTGATTTTTTTCTACCAGTGCTACACTGGGAGAAGATTCAGCTCAATAGGTCAACTCATAACGGAGGAATTGTCAAAGGAGAAGCTATCTGATACCTTTCCAGCACATTTTCAGGCTCTTTACCAGTGTATATTGGTCTTCAAGATGGACAAAAAGAAAGTAATAAGATTGAAAGTTTGCCTGGACAACCCAATGGATTAAACTTTGATCAATATGATACGTTATTGTTGATCCCAATGCAGGACGAGCATTCTTTTATTCAAGCATAACACACGCGTCAAACGTAAAATTGTCTAGACATGTAGGGATCTTAATGTCTCTCAACCACCGAATTATATTGATTCCTCTATGAACATGTCCAAGAACATTAGAAAATGAAGTATAATCCTTGAGTGTAGGAAACTAAATACACAGACCTCAACAATGTGTAATACACACTGTCAGTGAAAGGAGAGTTGATAAGTCATCACAATATAGACAGTGAAAACAAACGTGCCATAGGAGAGGGGTTCAGTCATCACATAAACCATGCTAATACTGATTAGTAGCATCTGGTTTAAAAACATCATTTTCAATGAGGTTTTTCTCCGTGAAGGCATCATTTGAAATGACATTTTTAAAAATGACTAAATTTGAAAAATAAGTTTAAAATTGATTAAATTTCAGAATAATATTTGGGTGGGGGGCTGGGTATAATCAAAAGTTCATTAATGAACAGAGTTCAAACTTGCAAGAACAGAGTTGGAATCAATCACAAAAGGGGAAACCCCATTAAATATGTTAAACAATCGTCTACTTTAAAAGATTAA